CTTTTCAGCCCTCTTTTGCAGGTGGGTTAATCCTTACAGGACTAATATACCTATAGACAGGGTTAGAGGTTCTTTTACACCATCAAATTTCTCCAAACCTCCAAATTCCAGGACCTAACCACCTTGGGAAAATTGGAAATCAGCTTCCCATCTCTACTGGCTCACCTTGGAACCCTCATCCTGCATGGATGGGAATTCCTGAGTACTTCATACTGTTTCTTTTTGTCCCCCTTAGAGGGACCACAACCCAAACAATGGTGATGCATATCTCCCATCCTGGACCCAACCTTGGTGTACTGTACCCCCCCCCCCCCCCCTTGCCACAGAGGTGAACGGAGCAACGTATGACACTTTGCAGAGTATCCTAAGTATATTGATGTTTTCCAGTCCTATGTTCCACCACAAATTTAAACTTTTGTAGAGACAAGAACACCTGGTTACCCTAGCATTTGTGTCTTTGTTCTGTTTCATTCAGGTCAGTGGGACATGGTCTGACACCAAATGGAAATCCCTGTCAAGGTGAAAATAGCATGGGAAATCTAAAGCCCACCTGGTGACCAGGTATTCTTTCTCCACTACAGTGGCTGTCAACTTCCTTGTCAGTAATCAACAGCTGAGATGGCCAGCTCTGTGTAGCTATCCATAGAAACTAAAACCAGACTATATATACTTAAGTAATTTCATTAATAGTAAACAAGATGCATCTACACACCAGTAAACATAAAAATACAACTGAACCACTACTATTTAACCAAAATCCCTAACTAAATAACAGGAAGCCCAGCTACAAACTAACTATACAAAATATGTACAAAAATGGGGAACACGGATAAACAGGATAAACTGGAGATGCAGGAAACACAAGAAGGGGAACACCAGGACTGGGATAAGGAACAAGGGGTGCTGGAATAAGACAGCAGGGTATAGGATGCAGGGCAAGAGTAAGATCAGGAGCAGGATAAACAGCGCTCTATCTGGCAGCAAGCAAAGCAAAACACTGATGTGAAGTGTACTAGCAGAGGAGAGACTAAATACTTGCCCAGCAGCTAGCATCCGGTGAGACTGATTACTAGAAACTGCTTGTTACTGGGAAACACCCACTGATGGACACTGGAACTACAACTTTTTTGCTCTGGAAAGCACAGTTCCATCTGCAGGTGATCCAGGTCCTGGTTTTCCTGCTGAGAAAGACTGTGGACTGTTCCTCCCTATTGATTTACTATGACAAAACAGCTCCTAAACCTCCACTGAAGGCATCTATTTTGACAATACATTCTTTAGAAAAATATGTAGTAATCGCCATTGGATACTGGCAAGAATAAGTTCACCTTTGGGAACATGTTACATGTTCATGCAGCTGCCACCTGCTGCCCCCCCCCCCCCTCCTGTGACAGAAGTACGGGGAGAAGTTTCCTATACTAGCTGTCAGTTTTCAAACACAGCGCGGCCATGCAAGGCTCAACGCTCACGGCCGCATCATTCATTCACAATGTTCTGTGAGTGAATGGACTACAAGATCCAACAGCTTTAGTGGCTGTCAGCTTGCAGTCCTTAAAGAACTACCACGGTGCTGTGAGCACTGTAGTAGTTCATTGAGTCTTCCTGTCAGCAAGTATTGGCTTGCTCATATGGGATGTATGAGCAAACAGATAAACTGACAGTGTGCAAGAGACCTGCATGGCACCAGCGATCTGTTGATCACAAAAAAATAATAAATACACATTTGTTAACCTGCAAAATTATGTGCCTTTATTATTTTTTGTGGAAAAAGGCGAACTTATCATTTAAACTCCAGAAAAGTCCCCTCAGCATTGTCATTGCTCGTAACCATAATTGATTTCTTACCCTTCATCAAGTCAGTCAGTGCTGCAGCACCAGCAGTGAAACTGGGGAAAAACTGTTGGTAGTACCGAACTCCCAACTATGCCCTGTTTCTTTGTGATGGGGTGGGGCCAAGCCTGAATAGCCTCTACCTTGTTCATTTGAAGCTTCATCAAACCCCTACCCACAATGTACCCCAGGTCTCTTTCTTTAAAGCGTCTAACACAGTCTGAACTCAGAAATGATGGGTTTCCAGTCTGTACTGAAGATAACAATGTCAATAAGATAGACAGAATTGTACTTCTGATGAGGACATAGTGCTTTATCCATCTGGAAAGTAGCTGTGGCAGAGTGCAACCCAAATGGTATTCTTTTACTTTGGAAGTAACCCTCTGGGGTGGAAAATTATGTATTTTCTCTGGCTTATTTGGTTAACGGTATCTGCTAGTAGTATCTCTTTAATGAGGTTTAAGATGGAAATATACTGGGCTGGTCCCAAGCTCTCTATCAGCTTAGAGTCCTGTTGGGCTTTGGTACCAACACAATTGGGCTTTACCATTCATTCTATGACTCTTCAATGATACAGAATGCAAGCATTTTCTGAACCTCCTCTGATACAGCTTTCCTGTGTGCCTCATGAAAGCAAATTTTTTTTGTATTATGACCTTAACATTAGGCTCCACTCACACTGATAAGACCTGACAGTTCTGAAAAGATTTCTCTATTCCTCTGTAAAAGCTATTTTGCCTGCTGAGATTGTGGCTGGAATAGAGTGATGGCAATTGGCTCTAGGTCCGCTCCTACAGGGGATTCTGATATAACCTCAGCCAGTGCAGCTACCCGCTCTGGGTCTTTCCAGCATTCTAATAATTTCACAAGGTATATTTTGTAAGGCTTATGCTTCACAGGTTGGTGTACTTTATATATTAACACCCCAAATGGCCCCTGCTATTTAGCCAGGAACTTACTCTTCACTGTGGGTATAAGCATGACCACCCAGTCCCCAACCTAGAACTGTAATAAATCTAGAAGACTGGTTGTATACCCTTCTCTAGGCTTCTTTTGCCTTCTATAAATGCTTCTTTACCAGAGGCATCACCTTAGCAATACTTTCAATGATATGCCTCACCACCATGTAAAGATTCACTTTCCCAGGTTTCTCTGAGCAGGTCCAGCAACTCTCAAGGTCCTTAGCCTGTACACCAAGTCAAACAGGGAAAACCCATTAGATGACTGAGGTTTATTTCTGATGAGAAACACTGGGAGTAAGCAGTCTCAATCTTTTCCAACTATTTGTACAATGCTCATGAGAATAGATTTTAATTTTTGTTGAACCAATCAACCAGCCCATCTGTTTGTGGGTGATAAACAGATGTACGCAATTGTTTAATCTGGAACAACTTGCCCAAGTCTGTCATCATCTTCAACATAAATTAAGTGCCTTGGTGTGTCAGGATTTCATTGGGGAATCCAGTTCTTGAAAACATGTTAAATAGTTCTTGAGAAATCACTTTTAAGGGGGTTTTCTTAGAGGGCCCACCTCAGGATACCTCACTGCATATTTAAGTACCACAAGGGCATACTGACCCCAGACCAATTTCACAGAGTGTCCTACCGGACCCATCACAATACCCCGGTAATTGGTACAGGCAAGAAGTTACTAAAAAGCAACACTTGAGCAGTTAGCTGACAAGTGGGACAGAAAAAACAGTACTGGTTTACCTCAGCAGTGACACCCAGACAGTAAAACCAGTCTGTTATCTGTGCCTCTGTTTTCTTGGCCCCTAGGTGACCTCTCAATGCCTCACTGTGAGCCAAGTCAAGTAACATGCGTCTAAAAGACTGAGGGGAAAGTCCATCTACAATATTCCTTTGAATACTTTGTCATACAAACAACTGGGAAACACAGATTTCCAAATGAATTGGAATTCTTGGTTACAAGGGTAGGGTAGGATCTTACTCCCATCCTATGACTATGGTTATAAAAGTCAATGCAGTTTTGCATGTCTAAGGCACCCTGGCAAACAGCATTGGTAATACTTTATATGGTGTAGTTTAATAAACAATCAATTATATCCCTTCTAGGTCATAAGTGATAATTAAACCAATCAGCTGCTGTGCAACTATAGTAGTTGAAAGAATAAACAGAAAAAGCAGCGCTAAAAGAAATTTCAATAAATAAACTCAATATTCCATACTGTGAATAAATAGACTCAACATCACAAACTGTAAATAAATAGTACACAAACAATAAAATTATTGATCAAACACAAAATGTGTATAAAAGTGATCACACAAATATACTTAATTAATTGTATAAAAGTTAACTGAAAATGTGTATTCCAGAATCTTGTCAAAGTAAAAAGGTTCAACTAAAAGGTTGTGTATACCCAAAACAGATCAATTCTTCAGTGTGAGTGAAAGGCCACAAATTCCGCAGAAATGGTAGTGTTCCACCATAGATAGAAGATGCCATCACCCAATGATCCAATTAAACAGATGCCTCTTACCAGATGCGATGGGCCATTAGATTATAAATGGTCAGAACATGCTTAGAATCAGTATCCACCAATGGCTCCACCAGGGATTCACTGACATCCATGATTAACACAACAGGACAAAAAATTACACTTCCATAGTGAAGTTTAACCACTAGCCTACAGGGCACTTATACCCCCTTCCTGCCCAGGCCAATTTCCATCTTTCAGCGCTGTCACACTTTGAATGACAATTGCGCGGTCATGCAACACTGTACCCATATGAAGTTTTTATCATTTTTTTGAGACAGATAGAGCTTTCTTTTGGTGGTATTTAATTACCTCTGGGATTTTTATTTTTTCTTAAACAAACCAAAAACCACAGAAAATTTTGAAAAAAAAAGTTTTTTCTTAGTTTTTGTTATACAATTTTATAAATAAGTGATTTTTCTCCTTCACTGATGTGCGCTAATGAGGCTGCAGTGATGGGCACTAATAGGCTGCACTGATGCACACTGATAGGCGGCACTGATGGGCACTCATGAGGAGGCACTGGTAGGTTGCACTGATGGGCATTGACAGGCATCACTGATGGGCACTTAAAGGCAGCACTGATACATGACACTGATATATGGCACTGATAGGCAGCACTGGCTGGCACTGATAGGCAGCACTGAGTGGCACTGTTAGGCAGCACTGACTGGCACTGTTAGGCGGCACTGACTGGCACTGATAGGTGGCACTGATGCGCACTGATAGGTGACACTGACTGGCACGGATAGGCGGCACTGATTGGCAGCACTGATAGGTGTCACTGATTGGCATTGATAGGTGGCACTGACTGGCACTGATGGGTGACATTGAAAGGCAGCTCAGATGGGCACTGATATGTGGCATTGATGTGCACTGATATGTGGCATTGATGTGGCACTGATGGGCACTGGCACGTGGCACTGATGAGCACTGACTGCTGTTACTGATGGACACTGACAGGTGGCACTTCTGGGGCCACACTGATCATCAGGGCACACTGATCATCAGTGCCCTGATGATCAGTGTACATGTCCCCTCCGCGGAAAGCCGATTACTGGCTCTCCTCACCTCTCGAGCTGTCAACGTGACAGCTCGAGAGGAGAGAAATGCCGATAACCGGCATTTCCGTGTTTACATGTGATGAGCTGTGATTGGACACAGATGATCACATGACCGAGCCGACATCTTTGGCTCTTTCCGTGATCCGCTGTGTCCCTTGGCTCCCTGAGCTGCACATGCGCTGTGAGAATGGAGGGACGTCATATGACATCCTATCAGAACGAGAGAACCACCTTGCGCCCGTCATTGTACTAACCTTGCAATAACATTGAAGCAACAAAGCTCCACGGTGTATGTAAAGAAAATAAAACAAACAAACCATATTGTAGCAGGCTGATAGCTTACAGCAAAAAAAACTTGAGTGGTTTGGTTTATTGTAATTTATATTTTGAATTTTTTTTTTCTTGATCAAGTTTTTTGTTCCCTTTACATGTTTATACTTATATCTAGCACACTCCTAGTCAGGTTCTAGGATATGTATCGTTAGGTTAAGCATAGCTGTGTTTTTCTGCTTACTGGGGAGCCTGTCAGTGTGGTATTCTGCTTAACAGAGTGTCGTGATTGTTTAGTCAGGTCTGCTCATGATGCTCTGGTGTTATTAGTTTGTCTGAATTCTGGCCACCTTCAGGAAGCTATGAGAGCCTTCCAAAACATGGGCAGGGGCTAGGCAAATGAACAGCATGAATATTAATACAGCTCTGGGCAATTGCAGGGGAGGGTGGCCCAATTGCAGCTGGGAGTGGTATTTATGTTCTGTGAGCACATGGGTTCAGTGTCATTCCCGGGAGTGGATTGCACCAAGCCAGGCTGAAGGCAGTCTTGGCTCACCTGGCACTTGCTGCCATGTGGCCTCAGGTGGGTCAACTTGAGGGTCTGAATTAGAGAGAGGGACCCTGGTTCCACAGTAAGCTGACTAAGGGGAGCTGTCTTCCAAAGATCTGTCTGATATCACTGGAGAGAGTCTCTTGGAAGATTGGAAGGAGGTAACTATTCTGTCCTTGGACTTGTGAGTACAGACACTGAGAGATCTTGGGGACTCTGTGTGTGCCTACCCCTCTGATGCTTGATAGTCAGCGAGGGTCTGAGAAAGGGAACACTGGCTAGTGTTCTGAAAAGTTTGTCCAGTGGATGCTACGGCAGAGGACTTGCTCATTTGCTATCATTTATAGACTATCACAGTCTGCCGTAATGGGCCTGTACCTGAGGAACTCATCCCTGTTACTACTACTACAGCTGAAGGTACTTGGCTCACTCCAAAAACTACTTGCAATATGTTACAAGGAAGTCTGCTATCTGCTTTTAGCTGAGACTTCTATGTTGCTCAAACTGAGAGATACATTCAGATGTCCTCAATGTGAATAGTTCTAATTTTGGAGTATCCTACTACAATTCCCCATCCCTATCCCCTGTTCTACAATAAAACTCCAAAAACAAACAACCCCTAGACTGGTCATTATAGACAACAAGCAAAAGTGTGTGTGCGAGTTCCTGAAGGGGGGAAAAAAGGGGAAACCGAGGCAACATACAGGTGGCCCTCGTGAGGGTAGCACTACATACTGTATATTAGATACGTTTAAGATGTGCATACTAGATAGCAGTGCACATCTCATTCTGAATGCTTACTAATGTCACCAATGCATTATACTGTAACTCGGTCTATTGCTTTATTATACCTGTTCATACCTGTAAAGCACTGGATTTATAGCAATATGCTTATATTTATTAATACTTGAAAAATGTATTGAAACTAAAACACTGAGGGGTTAATAATTGATCAAAAACTTCACCCTGGACTTCGGTGACTCGTTATAACAAATCACTGTTGACTGCAAGGTGTGGAAACCTTCTTCAGCCTCAGGAACTTGTGATACCTCATTAAACCTTGTGACTTACATAGTATGAAGTACCAATTACCACAATCAAACATACAAAATAACACCATTACGGAAGTAATTCCACGGACGTTGCCAAAGCACAAAATGTTGTTACGAAATTTTTAACTTGTGGTAGCCTCAAGCACAATTTGACATTTGCCACCATCTCTTTCTAAAACCATTGATTTGCTTTTTAGTATTAATAAAAGAAATGTAAAAGGAAATAAAAGGGGGGATGGCAGCAATCTCTTTTAATGGAATGTACCACATTGTCCAATAGAATGAGTTATGAATATAAAAATTTGCTTTAACATTCTCTACTTGTAAATGGCAAAATAGGTCAAAAGTGGTATACAACATTTCATATAAGGCAAAATGTCAGAGATAGCAGACACAAAGAAAGTGTAGTCATTGCATAGCAAACATGACCAGTCACTTATTTTTTTTTAGCCCAACCACAAACAAGATGGATGGTGGAATCCCTCGACTGCCACATTGCATTCTGACAGCTGCACCCTCTTCTGTCATAATACACTGATCAGCAGCTGCAGATCTGTAAAATATTTCCAAAATGTCCCTTTGACAGAAGCCAGTCAAATAATCGACTTGTGAACAACATTTGGCTAGTCCCTGCTGAAATGGCTGAGTTTTGATCTGTATATGGTCAGCTTTACATACATGGCTAGGTTAAAAAGGCATTCCTATTACCATTGCTAAAAAAATACATTTAACTCTTTTATCTTATAATTGAGCATTCTATAATGAACAAATGAAATATTACTGACAAAATAAATTTGTAAAAATTTGTCAAAGCCTGAACATCTCATTATTCACTTACTCAGAAACATCATAGTGATGGAGAGTATTTCCCAGCAGTTGTATGTGCCCATGGTGTGCAGAGGACTACAAAGGATGCAACCTGCTGAGAGATGTAAGGGTGCAGCCTGTGCAGCAACAAAAAAAACTCTTCCTTATATTAACCACAGCTTCCTTATCACAGAATCTTTGCTCATAATATCTGTTACTGGCTGATTCTCACCAGTTTGTGCTTTTATTTCTAGTACACTTTAACAGTATCCTACGTTGTTATTATATAGTATAACCTGCCTACAATTGAACCTTTTTCCCGCCGAGCTATAGCAGATACTGTATACTGCTACAGGGCAGCAAGGGTGCGCAAAATCACGTATATATACACGTGACTTTGCATCTTTGGGTAGGGGGCACTCGCGCCCTACCCGTGCCCCTGTTCGCGGCCTTGGATGATCGGTCCCTGTCCTATCCTGTCCCGTGTTGACAGTTACACAGGACAGGATATGATGTCAATCTTCTCTGCCTGGGCACATCCCGTCCCAGAGAGAGAAGACACAGTAAATGTGAGTAAAACAGCACATACTTACAGTCAGAACACATCTAGGTCACATTTAACCCCCTGATCACCCTCCCCCAGTTAACCCCTTCACTGCCCTGTCACCAGTGTCATTATTTACAGTGTACAGATTTTTTACTGATCACTGTATTAGTGTCGCTGGCGACTTCCGATAGCGTTAGCGCCCCTCCCAGATAGCGCCAGTTTGCCCGCTAGTACACCAGTAATCACATTTAACTCCTGGATCGCCCCCCCCAACTTAACCCCTTCACTGCCCTGTCACCAGTGTCATTATTTACAGTGTACAGATTTTTTACTGATCACTGTATTAGTGTCACCGGCGACTTCAGATAGCGTTAGCGTCAGTTAGTGTCCCTCCCAGATAGCGTCATATTGCCCTCTAGTACACCAGTACTCACATTTAACCCCTTAATTGCCAGGAACACGCTCACTTGCAAATTAAACTCCATTGCTAGTATAGTGTCTGAACGGATCAATATCTTTGATCAGATCTGCACTATACCAGCGTTCACATTAGTATAGCGTGCCCAAAAATGCAGCGTTTAGCAGGATCAGCCCTGACACATGCCAGCACCTGCGTTTAGTCCCTACATTTACCACCCCCTTTTCTCCCCCAGCAAGTGCAGTGTCAGTAGATCACTGTCACTTGATACATTACATACAAAACTGAAGTGTTCACAGAATCAGGCCTGATCTCTGTTAGCACTTGTCGGTAATTTTTTTTGTGTAGTGGTTCAAGCAGTCTCTGACAGCCAGGCACTCTTTTTCCCGTGAGTCGCACTAGGTACCTATAATTTTAGTGGTCAAAATGTCCAACCAAAGGTACACTAGTGAAGAGGCCTACAGGATTCTGAGCATGTCAGGTGAGAGCAAAGGGGAAGACTCACTGACAGAATCAGCCTCAGAATGCAAACCTGTAGACAGCAGCGGCACCCTGACAGATAGCTCAGATTATGGAGAAGTGGTCCCTGCTAAGATCAGGTGTACCCGACCCCATTTCCAGGTTACTGAGATATTTCAAATGCATTATGACGCTCATATGCAGCAGAGTGCCAGTACTAGTGCCGCTCTACCTTTTGGTGAACTGGCGAGTACCAGTAACCTAGTACATCCTGATCTTTTTCATACCAGCACTGCAGTATCACTTGGTGATGTGGTGAGTCCCATAAGTGCAGTACAAGCTGGTGCGGTGGTGAGCACACGTAGTGTCCTGCGGCCACCAAGAATTTGCACACAGGCCCGTAGAGCCCATAGTGTCCTTCCGGAGGTGCTTGCAAATCCCGATTGGCAGCCCACAAATTCTGCAGCACCCATACTTCCCCCATTCATTGCCCAACCAGGAATTCAGGTGGAAACAGCAAATTTAAATACTCCTCTTGATTTTATGGAGCTGTTTTTCACAGAAGATCTGTATTCATTGATTGTGGATCAAAGCAATTTATATGCACAACAGTTTATTGCCATCAACCCAAATTCAAACCTTGCCATACCAATCGCATGGAAACCCATTATGGTTTCTGAATTTAAAGTTTTTTTGGGCCTAACTCTCAACATGGGCATTACTAAAAAAAGTCAATTGCAGTCGCATTGGTCCACAGACCCGATTCATCATATGCCCATGTTCTCTGCTGCCATGGCAAGGACTAGATATGAGAACATAATGCATGTTATGCATTTCAGCAACAACACACTCAGTCGTCCTCGGGGGTGACCCTGAATTTAACCAGCTCCACAATATTCGGCCCCTCGTAAATCACCATAACCAGAAATTTGCAGCAAAACATTTGCGCTGATGAGTCCCTCATTAATTTTTCTGGCCGCCTTGCATTCAAACAATTTATCCCCAGCAAGCGTGCCAGATATGGGGTCCAGCTGTATAAGACCCGTGAGAGGGCAACAGACTACACATATAA